ACAACTGACCATTAGTGTTACGAATTAAACGATTTTTTTTAAAGATATAACGGGAATACTATTATACTCTACAATTTTTTTTTGGTTGTTATATGTACAACACAAAATAAATAATATAAATGGCAAAATATAATTTATTTAAAATACAAAATTAATTTAAGAATGTACTTAAATTTCACATCAAAATAACAAGTATTTTAGTGTGTTAAATCGTATCATCAGGCTCTCAGCCCAACTTTTTGTAATTTTTAATAAATTTATGTCACTGGTGATTCTGAACGGGACAATTCAATGTAGTTTTGGACAGTTAAAAACAGTTGGGCAGGCTATTCTGTATGCTCCCAACTGCAGCCCCACAAACACTTACATTCTGGGGAAAGTTTCAAAAAAAAGAACCAAGTGGGAATCCCACTCTTATCTTTAGCTCTAAGCAGTGGTTGTGTGTCCATATCTTTCCATGACTCTCTTAGTTGCCAATGCAGCAGCCTCGCTTGCACGCAATGTCCCCGTCGCCATGATGGCCGCAAATTCCTGGGTGATCTCGCCTTGGATCTTGCTCCTAGCATCCCCGAGGGGGTCCACACTGTTTGCGCTTTGCTCTCCCGACATCACTACTTCTGCTTCTTCGACTTTTTTGGATTGATCAGCGCAGACACCTGTCTGGAAAGCTAGAGGTTCTGCTGGCAGTACGAACTGAGGGGCTTTCGGGACTGCACCATCCCTTAACGTTGTCTCTAGTTGCTTTATCATCGGCACTGCACAAAAAATTTGCATTCTAAACTTGAAAATCAAGAACCCAGACCCATCACTGGGCTCTGATACCAAATTGAATGATGTGTTCCATTTTAATTGATCGTATTATAGGTCAGATATGATTCAGAAATTAAGCCTCGTTATGAAGTAGCGAAAAACAACAATGTAACTTACACATGAGAGGTCCCATCGGGCTGTTCATGACCTCGTTAGGGAGGTCGAGAATGTAGTCTGGAATGGTTGTGCCCACCAAAAACTGGGCAACCTCATTACTGAAATTGTTGCAGTTATGCGCCATCAAGTTGTAGGTCTCTGCTCTGTAGCGCGGGCTAATCTCCTGCAGATACATTTCGAACACATCCTTGGTCACTTCCGTGGTGCCAAGATCAATGACTCGTAGAGGGGTGCCATACGGCGTACACCCAGCTGGTTCATGCTGGATCCCACCTCCAAAGTAGTATTCATAGCCATAAACAACCACTCCAGTATGCCTGCAGATCAGAGTCAGTAAAACCAGGCATTAATTTTACCCCACCAAATCTGTTACTGTCACTCCTAATTTCTCTCTCAGTTTTTCAGGCACATATATAGTTTAACCTGTTCATGTAATTAATGTTGGGTTTACCATATGCCCTCTATACATGTGCCCAAAAATGCAGAAGAAAGCTGTTTTGCAAGTCCCTGGCTTAAATCATAAACGTTCAACATCACGCTATAGGTCTCCTGCCAAAAATCCAACATTGTTAGTTATGGTTCCAGACTTTCATTGTCTACATTCAACAGAGGTAAAAATGAGCAGTGGATATATCAGATCAGAGCAAATTTAACTTTGCAAGAATCACATCTTTTGTACCTCTGCCATCTCCAACAGTCCAATATTTCAAATCAGGTGAGAGTATAAACAGTCTGGAGTTGCTGATGGCCTAGCAGAATCAACATTTTGAGCAAATTGTTCATCAGTAAACAAGATAATAAGAACTACGAAGACAATGTAATAGCAGAAATCATTAAAATGTCTAGACTGACATGAAACAAAACCTTGGCCGATCCTTAGGATCAATGATCACAAGCAATATTTCAGCCTTTCATTGAACACAAACACGCGATTCAAAGAAATAGCAAAACGCATAAATAAATCCATTAATTTAAACCGAAAAAAGAAAATCAATCTTTTTTTTTTTAATTCCTAGAAAAATTGAAAGACGAAAACCAAATTTACATAATGAATGCGCATTCTGCAAATCGGTATATCAGAGAACGGAAGAGGAATCGAACCTGGATTAAAATTCCGGTGAATTGAAGAACGTCAAAGCAAGCTTGGATTTCCTTTGCCCGTCTCGGTAAAAGAGGCAGCGAAAGGTATCCTTTATTCCTTTTGGCCAAAAACGGAAGGCGTTTGATGAGTTGCTGGAGGCCAAAGAAATTCAACTGTTCTGGAATGTACCAAAAACCACTCCTTCACCTACACGTGTGTGAATCTTTCCTTCGGATTTATAGCCGACAAACAAACACCTACTTAATTATGACATAAATAGAATGTAAGAAAATGACATAAATACACAATGTTAGCCAAGTGAACGTTACATCAAACTTATGAATCATTTTTATGTGTTGTACTTAGTATTGTCATAGGAGACTTATTAATCTCTTTCATGTATATAATTATTCAAACATAGTTTTTGCAACACTAAATTCTATTAATTGACGTGATCTATCTATGAATTGATTTAGTCTTAGTGTGTTACACTGCAATTTTAAGCTAAGGATCTTGCAAGAACAATACTATAAGAGAGAAATAATAAATAATATCAGCCTTGCATTTGTAAAAATTCGACGGATCTGACCAGTTTTTTTTTTATATGATAATATTTTCGTAATTATCATCAACTTCATTATGCAAACTTTAAAATTTAAATATTCAATCGTTAACAACTAAATATGTAAATTTGGTAAATTTTATTAAATTAACGAAAACATTAAATTTTAAATCTAAACCATAAATGCTAGACTTTAAAGCAGTAAAGAGTGAACCACTAAACCATATATATATATATATATATATATATATATATATATATATATATATATATATATATATATATATATATATATATATATATATATATATATATATATGGGCACGCTCTCATGCGAACGGCCGCCCAGGAAAGGAATAAGAACCATCAAGCACCGTCCAGTAGGGCTATTAAGAAACCGAACATAAATGAACGGAGGGTGTTCGTGTTCGTTTGTTAAGCTTTTTGAAGTGTTCGTGTTCGTTTGTTAAGCGTTCATTAGTGTTTGTTAACGTTTGCGAACGTGTTCGTTAATGTTAACGAACATGTTCGTTCACGTTCGTGAATGCTTAATAACCAAACATATGAACATATTCATGATCATAATTCGTTCATGAACAAGAAATAATATATATGTTCACAAAAAATAACAAAACAAGTAACACAACTACAAAGAGAATACAAACAAATATTAAATGAACACAGACGAGATTGTTCACGAACATTATTAAACGAACACTAAACAAGCTTGTTCGCGAACATTATTAAAAGAACACAAACGAACTTGTTCATGATCACTTAGCAAATGAGCTTACAACTGTTCAGACTCTGTTCGTTTATAAACCGAGCTCTAAATTTTGTTTGTTAATGTTCGTTTACCTTAATAAACGAACACTTACCGAACACGAACACTAAGTGAAGGAAAACAAAACCTGAGCAAAAGATTAGTATTTTGTTTTTCAAAGGATTTAAGAAGAAAGTATAACACAATTGGACTATTTTACCCTCATCAAAATTTATTAATTACACGTGTATATATAAAAAAAAAAATATTCCTAACCAAACACACACTTAGTTATTATAGTACATATATGATATATGATTTTCCTTAATAAGGGGTCCGAAATCATAGTATCCAATGTCTAAAAGGAATTGGCGCGCAATCAAATACCGCATATGTACATGAATGATTTATGATTGGATAACAGTGGGAAAGCGGGCGCGGGAGTGGGAAAGACGCGGGAGGACGCCAAAATTATCCATAAGTATGATTAAGTAAGCGGGTAAGTCCGTGGGTTTACCCGTTGGGCCTAGAGATCCGAGCCCACCTAGGGGACTCGTCATTGGCTAACGCTACCTCGTCCAACGTTGGATCCTGTACGGCCTCCTATGGGGCTTGTGCCTTTTTTTCTTCCATCTCAATAATCACTCTACTTACTACTTGTACTAGGAGATCATGCCAAGCAATGTTATATTTTTTTGCAGTATTATTCATCCTATTACAATATAGTATCTATTCATACATACTGAAATTCAAGTTTGAGACATCTCATTTGAAGGGCCACAGTTATAATGTATGTGGTTTACAAAAAAAAAAAAAAAAACAAAAACAAACAGTTACACTATTTGACTAGAAGGCCTTTGGCAAGCAACTATATAGTCACTATTCGAGACTTTAGAGTATGCACACTCTAAATTGACTATAGCTAATCTAGTTGAACGACTCTAACTAAGAATGTTAGCTAATAGGTCACTTTGATGCCATGAATTAGCTAACCGGCCTAACCTCACATATTTTTAATTAAACATTAAAGTAACTAGTTAGACTCGGTCCGAACTTGCGCCCAAGGTTTTGCGGCGATCGCCGGCCCCCCTCTCTCCACCAATTAAGAACGATCATGCACCACCACTCATAGAATTTTAAAAAAGCTCTTAATCTGTCAATCCTTATTTTGTCTGGACCTAAATTTCACGTCATGAGAGAAATTAAGAATGAAAATTTAAGGAGAAGTCTGTATAACATTACTTTATATATATCAATCAGAGTATGCCATGTTAATATTTAAAAAAATGCTGTAAAAATCATAAATAAATGTACTCTTACTCAAAATCATTGTACAAATCTAATATTACACTTATTTCTTTATTACCAATCTAAAATAAAAGAAAATATTATTTGTTTTAAAATATTATAATTATAACTTTTTAATTTTTGACAAAAAATCGTAACTATTACTTAAAGTTGTGTATTTATAAATTTTAATTTTGTGTAATAATATATAAATTATACATACAAGGTAGGTTGAGAAAGTGTTTGAGAAAAATGATGATATTGTTGTCAAAAAAAAAAAAGAAAAATGATGATATTTATAATTGATTGTTGAATTAAATGAACAGTTAAATTATAATATCACTCATTTGTTACTGACATATATATCTCGGGATCGAAGTGAAATTTTTCGTTTTTTTTTTACCGCTCCTCCACCATTAATGCCCCCTTCCACTTCTTCTCTCTTCTCCCTCCTCTCCGGTCAAATCCCATTCCCCCGCAACTCAAACTTCCGCAGCCTCTGAGAAGCTGAAGTCTCTGCCGTGTCGGAGAGTAAAGGATCACAAAAACACCGTTTCAGAATTCACAGCAAGAGCGATGGGGAAGTACGTTAGAGACGCAAAAATGGCCGGCGATGTGGCGGTTATGGAGGTTTCACAGTCCACGGTCGGCGTTCGCACCCGTGCCAAAACCCTAGCCCTCCAGCGCCTTCAATCCTCTGCTCCGCCGCCTAGTCCGGACTCGTGTTACCTCCAGCTTCGCTCCCGCCGCCTCGAGAAGCCCCCGGCTGTCCTCCCCAATAATTCCAAAAAGCTGCCTAAGCGTAACCTAAAATCAGGCTCGAAACAGAGTTTCCTACAAGACGAAGAATCAAGGACTTGCCGGAACTCGGATGCTCAGTCCAGCTCGGGGCTCCGAGGCGGTTCTATGAACTCGGGTTCAGTTAACCATTCCATGACAGGCGAGCTCTATTTTCAGGAATCGAACGGAGGGATTGAGATAAACGATGGCAATGATTTCGGCATCTTAGAGGCTTCATTTGGGGAGACCATTCTCGACTGTGAACCAAGAGATAGGTATTTACATATACGTATTCATTGTTTCTTCCAAATTTTTGAGCTGTTCTGCATGTGTTCCACCATTTTTGGATTATCAAGGTTTGAATGGTTGAAGGCGGGAAGGAGATAGGGATAATTATCTCTCCATTTCTTAGAGAAACGAAACTTTGAAAGAAGGGATTAGTTATATATATGCTCTTTTCCCTTTATTTCTTATCTCACAAAAGGAATGGCTAGTTTAGCTCAGACACTCTGGGCCGGGGCTTTAGAGTTCACTGCTTTTGCTGAAAGAACCATTTCAGGGGACTCCAACATTCATATTGACAGAAAGAGTTGCTTTGTTTTTTCTCTCTAGTGTTGCATTTGTGGGCACCACTTGTTCCTTTGCCTAAATCCAATCTTTCCTTTGATTTTTTTTTTTTTTTTTTTAATTTTTTGTTCTTTTTCATTTTCCTTTTCTTGCTTGTTGCTGTCATCCTAAACTAGAAAATTGCTCTTTTTTTTTTTTTTTTTTTTTTTTTTTTTTGCTCAGACAGTGTGAAACAATGTTTTAATCTGGTTTCCTTTTCATTCTTCCTTTCTCCCATACTGTTATGGTTTAGTCTTTTTCTTCCATTTCACTGTGTTTTCTCATGTCCATCTTCTTCCTTTGAGACTTAAGAGCCTCTCTACACTGGTTATGGAACATGAGGTTGCACTTTCATTTTTGAGTGACGAGGGAACCCTTCAGCCACCACCCGAGATTATGCACGTGATAAATCACGCCTTGTGATCCTAACTTGACATTTCACTTTCTTTAATTATCCAATAGCATGCTCATATGGTTGGGAAGTGTAAAGTTTCACTTCAATTCTCCAGTTTTCTTTCTCTATTTTTGTTTTCCTTTCTTAGGAAAATGGAAAATTTCTGGGATTAGTATTTACTGAATAAGGATTAGTGTATATATCTAACATATGGCAAAGTCATTTCATCCTTTCAAGTACCATGGATAAGGTTTCAACTGTTCCAATAGTTCATGCAATATGATATAGTGATTCTACTGCTTTCACCATTTTTGGCCACACAAGTTTTAAAGACAAGCTTTCATATAGGCATGCAACATGTTTTTCTTCTCATTTATGTATCAGAAAATACATATAATCCCTTGATACTGTGTGTGTATTCTGATGGAAAGCTTGATGATCAAATTTTTCCCTGTGCTTGGGTCATGGTCTTTGTCTACTACTCTGATTTTAACTTTTTTAACAACACATGTTAGATTTTAGTGTCAACACTGAACAGTGAACTCCAAAACCTCAAATTTTGTCTTCAGTGTTGTGTCCTTTTCATGGGGCCACTATCCTTTATCTGACAATCCTTGAGGTACAGCTGATATTGATATTTGTCACGCGCATTTCTTATGGGTAACTCTATTCTTGGGTGCATAAGGCAAAATTCTTCGCCTCCAGGGCCCTCACACCCGGAGTTAAATAATGGTTACTCAACGATCTCTTAGGTGGACCAGTGTACAAAACTCCTATAGAAAAAAGTTGAAAGTTTTAAGTAAAAAACTGCCATTTTTGTTGTTAAATCTCTTGGAGTAAAATTTTTCTCCATCCCCTTTTCCTTGTAACATCTACAAGACTGGGAGAGGCTGCTTTTGATGCTCTTAATTTTGTTTATCATTGCTGTTATTTACATGGCTCTACAACTATGGAATAGTGGTTGGTACTATAGAACTAATTCTGCGTTTTCTCTAAGGTTCACCAGAGAAACTACTCCTTGTAGCTTAATAAGGGAGGCAGACGACGTCAAGACCCCTAGCTCCACAACAAGGAGGACAAATGCGCGCTCTGCAACTCATAGGATGCGAAGTTCAGTAAGAAATATTCCTTCAACAGGGGAAATGGATGAATTTTTTGGCTGTGCAGAGCAGCAACAGCAGGCACTTTTCATTGAGAAGTATGTTGCATGTTCATTTATTTCAACTTGCATATATAGGAAGTGATTTCATTACCTTTGAGGTGTGATATTGCCTTACCTCTCTTCGAATCATATCTGCAGGTATAACTTTGACATTGTGAACGATTTGCCTCTGCCAGGACGTTATGAATGGGCGACAATTAGCCAATAAGGAAACAAATTGAATCGTTCTTGGGGTCTTTCCATTACCTACATTCAGTGTAAAAGTAGACTTAGAGATCTTTCCATTACCTACATTCAGTGTAAAAGTAGACTTAGAGATGTGTAGTTTAACCGTTAGGACTTAGGAGTAATGTCCATCCATGCAATAGGTCTGTTTGCACTTTCATCTTTGTAACATGCAAGAAATGATGGAGAAAATTACTGGGCTTTTGTACTGAGTTCATACCTCAGAGATTCATATCTCTATTCTTCCCCCACTTCCTCCAATACTCCATGGTCTAGCTAGCACTAGAGTCACAGATCAATTAGTTAATTAATTCAAAAAAGGTGGAAAGTTCGTCATTATATATCATAGGTGCACAATTTAACAATTCAATTTTTACTCGGAGAAATTGAAAGAAATTGAGTCACATCTTGCAGTTTACTTTCAGCATTGAAGCTGGAGACAACAAGAGTATAGGAATTAGAATACACTCATGGACTGTTTGGTTGGATGTAGTTGCAATTCAATTGCAACATAATTCTTTTGCCACTCAAATTACAATGTTTGGTTAGAGGGAATTGCAATTCATACTCTTCCTCATATGAATTGCAATTCAATGGGAAAGGAAAGGGAAAATGAAGAAAATAACTTTTTTACCCTTAATTATTATTATTATTATTATATAAAGACATTTTAGTCTTTATACTATTCTCTCATTCTCATTCCTAATAATTATATGTAATTTAAATTCCTACTTTATTCTTTTCTTATCGAATCCCTTCCTTCCGACCAAACGTTCCTGTCAAATCCTTAGCATGAGGCCTGCGCAGGTATATAACAAGAAAGCTTTTCTCCATAGAATATCAGTTGGGGGGTAAATATTGCCATCCTCATATATAGATCAATAATTGGAGAAGAAAAACGAGAGTAATCAATCACACCTTCATACTTGGGTTCTGCTGCGCATTTCTTCAAACACAATCTGTTCAAGAAAACGCCAATAAATACAGAGTACGGAGTAATGATTAGCGGTTGGCAGATGACTGAGCAATGGCGGGGACTGAAAAGTGAGTGGGCAATGACGACCATAGCTTTTCGGATTGTTTCAAAAGAAAAAGGTGGGCATCCCACTGGGCATTGGCCAAAATGGTCTTCTTTTTCAGAGCGAGAGGGGGATGTTGTCAGAACCACCACCGTCAGCTGTAGGCTACGACATTTTTACTACTCGTGTCGCTATTGCATTCGCTGCCTCACCTCTCTCCAAAAACTGGTCTGAATCAAAAGCTACACAGCATTAATGGCGTCCGTCACTGTTTAGTTTTGGTTTCTTTGTCACATGGGGACTCTGTACACGCCGTGCCACCGCCGGACGATGGCTTTTACTTGGCCGTGCATGGTTCACTGTTGTTTCAATAGCTGCATCTGCATCTGTCTAATTCTTTGGGTACATTTTATTCTTTATTATACTTAGGGTAGGTTTGGAAATCCAAATGATTTCTAGAAAATATAGTCCACAAAAATTATTTTCTGTTAACTATAGAAAATATGACTATTTTGAAGGGAGTTATTTCTCATCGACACGTTCATAATTCATTTGGACCTTGGTTTCCTCAAAAATCATAGTTTTTTTTTAAATATATATATATATATATATATATATATATATATATATATATATATATATATATATATTATTTTAAATATTATTATAAATATTTTTATATTCTAAATAAAACAATTAAAATATTTAATTATACAATTCTACTTATTTTCTAGAAAATTAACCAAATACATCAAGATATTTTCTAGAATGCAACCAAACAAGAAAATGAAACTATTCCTTGAAAAATGACCCTGATAGTACTAATACACGTGGACTAGTAGCTAAACCAGTTGCCCTAGCACAGAGTCCGACTAGTTGGCGATCGAGAGCCTTTGAGTAGGTGCCTGTTTTAGAATCGGTCAAAAGTCCCCCTTGCCGTAATAAATGCGAGTATTTATAGACGAAGAGGCGGGGAACACGGTCCGGGCTACTAGCATGGCAACCACGTGGAGTGTACGTGTCCTTATGCGCATCAAACCCCCGACAATACCTAGTGACGACACATAGGATTACGCAAGGCTGAGGTCCCGTGCGGCTAGATAGAGTTCGGGCAGAATAGCGGTCGGGGAGGATGTCGATCGGGAAGCAAAGATGACACTCAAACCGTTTGGCCTCGCTCGGGATAAAGTAAGAGTAGGTCAGCGGTCAAAGTTCGACCGGGTGTATAATCTATCATACACATTTTTCAGAAGTCATTTTTCTGATTTTCAAACACACCCTTAATCTTTTATTCCACCGTTTCAAATTAGTACAACCACTACTTCAACCCTTCTTCAAAAGGTCATGAGAAATCGTCTCAGGTGAGATTTTTTTTTTAACAAAAATGTAATACTTATTTATAAGTCAACAAGTATTACATTGTTACTAATACTTTTCAAAACACAAGTGAAACTTTTCAATGAAAATGTAATATTCATTAACCTATAGAAAAATATTACATGTGTGATATCCATCTTACGTAAACCGGTTTCACATAAGTTTGCATTATAAAAGTTATAGTTGAAGCAATTGAAACAATTCATTTCTCCAATCACTCTCCAAAAGTTCATTTGTATGAATTATGGCTATAGTAATTAGAGTGATTCATTGCTCCAACAAGGAAAAAAACAAACAAACTAGAACCTAAAAGGGCAAGGGTCCCGTTAGAGCAGTATGATTGGACCACTTCAATTACACAATTACCCCTACTGCCTCACAAAATGAAAGAATGGCCAAAAAGTCATATGGTAGTCAGAGCTTTATTCTGACTCAGATTCAAAACTGTGGGACTCTATATATGTATGTTGCATTTCATTTGTAAATTTAAGAGTAATAGTACAAGTACTCTCAGTCTTTAACTCTTTACTACTCCGTATATTTTTTTAATTTAAAAAAAATAATAATTTAATTTTTATTTTCATTACCTAGTGATAACAACTAAATTGACTAATTGTACTGGTAGCATTTTCCTGAAATAATTGCATCTTTGGGGAAAAAAAGGGGGATCCATCAAATCAATACAGAAATCTTTTGATTGACTAACATCACCAGTTAACTGGTATTTATTACTGCATTCAATTCACTCATTGGATTCTGGTTAGGTTGGCACAAATGTTAAAAACTCTGAAAATTTGGGTCACTTACCAGCATTTCCCCTTCAAATGCGTTGCTTTTAATGTCCTGCACATATCCGTACACAATTCAGGCATGCAGACAATCAATTACAGCACTTCTTCATCTTTGCTCTTTGAAAATAATGTTATCGCATCTTGAAATCTTCTCTTACTTTTAAAATGTCAAATTTTACTCCTTATTTGTTATCAATAAAGTAATAATAATAATAAATAACTAAAAAAAAATCAAAAAGTATGCTTTACAATTGCTCAATTCTCTGATAGCCTAAGCTCACTGTAAAATCTTGCAGATTCACAGTATTGTAATTATTGAATCCAATGGAATTACTCTGCAATAAAAGCATGCATTACAATGCAGGTTTACAAGAAGCCATTAAACCTGCTTGACCATAATGCTAATAAATGCAGGCATGCAGCAAGGCATCATAAAAGCAACAAGACAACAACTTTTGGCAACCTGCGCTCTACACATAATTTCAGAGATCAGTTTCAAGAATTCAAATTAATGGCTGTGCCATTGTCTTCAAAAGCAGATATTTACCTTACATTTCTGTTGAAGATCATATTTTGGAGACACTAGATTTGAAAGTATAAGATGTATTATCTTTTCAACATTGTAGTGAACTTACTATTAGGCATGAGCTTCAAACTTATGCAGCTTAAGATGTCAAGAAATGGCAAAGAGCCAGTTCCTCTACAGACATGCCACATCACTTAGCACTGTTTTACCTACCAACAACAGAAAGCAGGGAGCTAGTATCCTTCCATGGTGTTAAGTAACAATTTCCCAAATGTTGTGTGACACAAAAGGGTAAAAAAAAGAGACTACTTTTGCCCTGTTTACCTGTATTCTGCAGCCCCTTTATTTTTTTCTCACCTCTTTGTAACTTTGTTAAGTTGTGGTCATGTGCATACTGGAACTATTACAGTACTTAAGATTCATGACAACAAAAGAAGACAAGGAGTAATTTTCACTAGCTCAGTGTTTTTTACATTCTCATTTTCCAAGAAGTTGCAGTAAACAAGTGGGCCAAACCTTTGAATTCTACCTCCTCAAGTACTTCTCACCACCATTTGCTCTTAATTCTTGCAACTAAACTAGGAAAAAACAAGAAAAAGAACACCACTAATAAGAAAAATCAAGACATTTTGAAAGCAACTTGATTAGAAAAGTGATGATAATTGCAAATTATGACAAAAACCAGTACCTAAATATCAATTTTTAATATTGTCATGGCAGTCACTATCCTCCAGAGAAATTTCATGCGCTGCATGTGTCTTTTGCTTTGTTTCCAGCATTTCAACTTCACATGTAGAAACATCCGGAATGCTTTCGTTTTCCATACTCATCTGCTTTAATCTTGCTAATCGCACAGCTTGCAGTTCATATCTAATCATCAACATTTGAGAATCGTGGTTATATAATGAAGTGAAGGAATCTAGAGGACAGGCTAAAACGTCACACAACTTACTCAGCCACATAGCTCTTAACTAGTACAAAATATATTGTCCAGAACTGCTGCTCTTTCAAATAACGTGGGCATAACTTAAATCTCAGCTGTGCTAGTTCCTGAAGATGGGTACTGTTAAAACTGAATGCTAATTTAGGGGGAAAAAAATATTTGTATATGGAATAGTAAATGCCATTAATTTATTTTATAGCAAAGTAAGCATTTAATTTAAGTAATCAACAAAGCAAAACTCTGTAAGATACAGACAGCTAACCAATTAAGCTAGCAAGATTCCTATTGCAAAAGGCTCCGGGGACCTAAAAGTAAAACCATTTTCCAGACATGAAATCTGATGGAGAATATGAGCCGTTCAAAATGAAATGGAAATTTCTCAATGATGTTAACAAATC